AGTAATACGATTGATATCACCAGTAATAGCTCAACCAATTTAAACATTTTTTGTGTCTCTAAATAGAGAATAACAGTATACCATGTTACATATTGCTATAATGAATACATACATTTTTTTATAAGATACATGGATTTAAGTATATCAACTATAAGTGTTAATGCAACGACTTATTTTGTTCTTTTCAGTTGTTTTATATATTAGAACAACATATGATTTTTTTATTTTTTATTCTTTTTTATTTTTTAACACGAGTGTATAACATGTTCTTTTTATTCTGTTAATATATCGAGATAAATATCATGTTAATTCGTTTCTTGTTGAATACGGGTAGATATAGTATGTTGAAATATATATAATTGCTGTTGTTGATTTTTGTATAGATACAACTAATGCAATTAGTAAGACGTGAATTAATTAGAATGAGAAGAGGAATGATGGTATGTGTATATATTTAAACACGACTGATACCACCTAAACGAATTTAAGGATGATATGTGCCAATTCTACACTGGATTATAATATGAACAGGAATAGTTGAAATTAGGTTTTTGATATGTATCTTTGCATAGAGAATGAGAAAAGGATGTCCGTAATGATTAAAATCAGAACATAGTTGTGGTTGTGAAACGATAGTGTCGACGTGTTGGCCGAATACGATATTGTTGTAGGCATGAAGAATCGTGTTTCAGCTGTAAGTTGAAATTATATGGATTGAATGTGTTTATGTTTTATTGGTTTGTGTTGTGGTTTTTATATAAATGGAGGTGATAGGTAACCTTGTTTATAGTGATCATCCTTTGTTGAATATGCATGCTAGAATTAGAGTAGGTTTTTATGAGCAGTTGTATGTGATTGTAGTATGCTGAATAATTTTTCGCTAGTTTTATGACAAGGAAGACTAGATACTGCGTGAACAGTGTATGAGGGATGGAGAACATTTTTGGGGTGATGTTTTGATTATGATCGAGGAAATATTTAGAAATAGAAATGTTCGGTCTGGTGCTTGAAATAGATTATAATTTTTTTCTTTGGGTGAATTGTTTTTTTTACTGGTGGTGATTTTTTAGTCAATGGTATGACATACTAAGTAGGCTAGGATTTTCTTGAGCTCTTTAGTGAATGGCTGCTCTGCTACATGAAAATGTTTAGTCTCTTGTGAGAGTGTGTGGAAATGGTAAAGGGTTTAGTTTATTGGATTTTATTTATTGCTTTTATTCATTGTGTTTCTGCTGCTTATGTTTGTGGAATGTTTTTTTATGTTTCTGTTCTCGAGGGTTTGTAGTGCGTATCCTTTTTTACCTCGACTTACTGCGTAATATGTTATATAGGGTTATTGGGCATTAAAAAATTGCGTCCATATTGCGTGTTTTACTTAATAGTATTGTCTAATTGCGCAGTAGTATTTTATACGAATGAATAATAGTTTGATTTCTTCTGTCTCCTCTCGTCTGTTATGTTGTGGTTAGATTTGTTTCCTTTCTCTCATTGGCTCTATCTACTCTGTTGTTGTGTTTTTTCTCTTGTATTAGTTGTCGCTGTGGTCATACAATACTATGTTTGTCTGCCTCGAGCAATGTTATTTGTTCACTATGTGTTATAGTGGTGTATTTTATTCGTTCATCTCTTAAGGTACGTACTTTGTTGTTCATTGTAAAACAATAGTTTTTTTTTATATTAAATATTCGTTATGTTAATGAATTTAGGCAAGTGTCCTGTCTGAAGACTTAATAGTGTTTGATTCAGCACGAGAATGTCATTGCTTCCTTAATAAGAATAGAGTTTTTTTTTATATTGTTTTTGTACATAAAATTGAACAGTACTTACGAATTTTAAATTGGAAGTCAAATTTCAGGCACGTGATAAGTTTTGAATTAAAGAATTGGAATATTATGAGTAGTTGAATTCAATCATGTGGATCTGTTAGTTTTGATGATGAGCTATTTAAGTAGAAACGTTATGGATTAGTGTGGTGAGTAAGACTGGCATTTTGCTTACTTTGTTTATGATGATGAACAGAGTGATTAATTTAGACTTTCTTTTGCATAGTATAGAAGTAATAATTCATTTGTAGGATCATGTAAGAAACAGGAATAGTATTGACATGTTGAGAGTTTATGTACATTATTTACAAGAGAGACATAGTTATTTGTTATTAAACGGAATCTATAAAAGAAAACAAAACTTTAGTTGATATTCAAAAAAGATGTCCTATTTTTATTGCCTGTTATAGTTTGAAGACGTAACCTGACGGTATTGTTCTTCTTTTTGTTTATTCTAATGCCATTTGAAAATACATATAGTGGCATAGAACCTTCATATCCGTTCAATTTTGGATCTTTCGCTTTGATCAAGAGCGATTCTTTGATTCTTAGTCGATATCTGTATTGTTCCATTAGTAAAATACTGAAATCATCTTTAGTAAACATATGACGTGTTTTTATATAATGTTTACTAATAGCTGATTTTGGAATTGGAGTTTGTTCATTTTTTAATTTTACTGTAGTTTGTTTTAAAAGTTCATCAATATCATCTTTGTACAGTTTCATAGATGAAGATAGAAGTTTTCCAGTCCTTCATCGTGTTATTGGACCAGTATATAAAGGAACTGGATTTTGAGAAACTTTTTTTTTCTTTTTATTTAATTTTGGCATTTTTAAAGTTATAGGCAAGAATTTTTTTTGATCGGACAGATGTTCATTAATACGTGTTTTTAAATACCGATAAGTTTGCCCTATATATGAATTATTACATTGAGAGCAAGTTGCCTCATAAACAACACCGGATTTCAAGTCATCTGGTACAGCATCCTTGATGATAAAATTACGTCCTATACGGTCTGATACATCATAGACAACCCGTACTTTTTTAAGTGGATATTGTTTAGCAACTGAAGACGTAACAAGCTTTCCATAGACTTGAGATTCTTTTCCTAAATACGGTATTTTAAGTACTACCGTATCAGTACTTAGAGTTGTTGGTCTAGGAATAGGTGGCACATATTTAATATTCAGTTGCCGTTTAATAATTGACTCCACAAAATTAGTAGGGTAGCCATTCTTCTTCGATATTTTTCGAATAATTTGTAATTCTGCATGAAGAGCCTTATAAGATGAACATATTTGAATAGCTCGGAATACCATAGTAGAGATAGAATTATATTTATAAGTCTTCGGAACAAAGCTATTCCATTTTGTTATAAGACCAGTGAAGCTCGGTTTTCTGTAGATTCTAGTTTGAAAACCTTTACCTTCTTGTCGTTGAATGCGAACATCAAGAAATGATAGTTTGTGTGTAACTGCATCTTCCTCCTGAGAAGTGAACTTAACAGAAGGGTGTAATTTTGAAAGTTCAGTACAAACTTTTTCTGCACAAAATTCCGGGTTCAGTAATACAAAGGTATCATCAACATATCGTTTCCAGTAAATGATGCCCAACTTTTCGAATACTGATGAATTTTTTTTCTCAAATTCTTGAAGAAAAATTTCAGCAACTAGAGGAGCTAATGGAGAGCCCATTGATACTCCGTCTATTTGATCGTAAATTTTTCCGTCAAAGAGAAAATGAGATTTTGTCGTAGCAAAGGTCAGGAGCTTCTTCAAATCGTTCCGTTCAATAGTAGGTGGTACAGGACGAGTTTCATATAATTCTTTGAGAATAATGTTAATTGTTTCATCAACAGATACATTTGTATATAAACTAACAATATCGAATGATACCATTTTATACGTTGAGAGAGGATCATCTAATGTATGCAGATCTTTAACAAAAGAAAACGAATCGCGAATCAACCTTTTCTTGTCAATTAGATCCGATAACATTTGAGTAAGAACCTTCCCAAGTCGATAATTAAATGTTCCTATTGACGAGAGAACTGGCCGAAGTGATACAGGTTGTTTATGAATTTTTGGCAGTCCATAAAGTCGTCGAGGTTTAGATCCAGTAGGTCGTGCACGATAATAAAATTGATTGGTAATATGTCCTTGGTCGTGTAATTTACGTAATAAAGATATCAAGCTATTCTCTCGTGTTACTGTAGGATCTTCAGATAGAGAAGCAAATTTAGATGAGTCATTGAGAATAGAATGCATCTTGTTTACGTATTCTTGTTTGTCCATCAAAACAACTCCTTTTCCCTTATCTGGACGAGTAGCAATTATTGACGTATCATTTTTTAATTCTTGCATTAGTTTACGATAATTTTTTTGTTCGAAATTAAATTTATTTTTTTGTATTTGGTGTCGGTCGGCTTTTTGTAGAAACGATTTAGTTAAGGAACTTAAATCACTAGCCAAAGTTAGCTCTTTTGTGTTCAAAACACGTAGATCGCTTTTAACAATGACTTCATTGTCCTGGTGTTCATTCATGAATTTCTTCTGATGTTCATAAACATCAGTAATACGATGAAAAAATGTTTCTACATTACTTGCAACATTCATAGAACTAATGGATTTAGGTGGTAAAGAGTAATCCAATCCATTGGCGAGACAAATAAGTTCTTCATTTGATAGTACACGTGATGAAAGATTAGTTACAACTTTTGGATTATAAAAGCGAGCTGAGTTATTAACAGGACTCAACGATAATAATTTTTTATTTAATGTTCTTTGTTTTTCTTCTAATAAACGTGCGCAGTCCAATATAATAATTTGATAAAGATGTTCGAAAAAATCAGCAGGTGACAATTCACGAATTTCATCAAGCGAGGATTCATATAATTCTTTTAATTCATTTAATTTTTTACGTTTTCCATCGATTTCGACATTCAGAAGCTTACGTTGACAAGCTTTATATACTGGTGAAGACGATAGATGATCGTTCGCAGTTTTAAACCATAAGAATGATGGAATAATATCCTTCGAACGACATGTTTTTAAAAATACGATGTCAAGTTGAACAGCATTCAGACGATAGTAATATTTCTTGACATTACGATAAATGTATAAAAAACGACTTCCATAGTGCTGCCGGATATAATGCTCGACATGAAATGTAGGATATCGATTTTCATCATTACATGAATACATGATAGAAAATAATCGAAAATTTTAATAAATCAAAAAATAATGACGTTAAAAGTTTTTAAGACCTTTAATCTGCAACAACAAACAGAAAAACATATTGTACGCCTGAGTCCGCCGACAAAATGTAAACATATTTCGACTAATTAGAATAAAAAAAGAAATCCCCCATCAAACGAAAACTACCACCAATGATATCGTCCTTCATTCTCACACTGTTCGATGCCACGCTCGCATCTATAGCCATCACAAACACCAGACAAAGAATCAACAGAATGAATGAAAATCCAATAAATACCCCGTAATAGAATAGAAAAGACCAATATTGCCACACCCAAAAAAACTTCCAACATTCATATTCACCATATAAAACATATATCACAACATCTTCCAACAAAACTAACAATTCTTCTTCTATTTTAGATCATCCAACTTACAAAAACCACCTAAAGTTACAATCCTGCATCCAACACATGCTATCAACATACCAACCATTTATTGCTGATGTTCGAATCCCGATTGCTATAACTCCGTAACAAATATTCAAATCAACAATATCTTAAACTGGCCACAGATTCAACCTACCATTAATTTCATACTTCTTACAATCATACAAACAAAACCTTGAATGAAACAACGATAAGATTCCCACAAAAAAGATATATCAATACATGCGAAAAAAATAAATCGTATCTTGTTCTAATATCTAAAACAACTAAAAAAACAAAACAAGTCGTTGCATTAACACTTATAGTTGATATACTTAAATCCATGTATCTTATAAAAAAATGTATGTATTCATTATAGCAATATGAAACATGGTACTGTTATTCTCTATTTAGAGACACAAAAAATGTTTAAATTGGTTGAGCTATTACTGGTGATATCAATCGTATTACTCAAAAAATCAACAACATCAATTATATTCATCTAAATATATTACATCTACAAGTTCCGATGATGATCTCAATATGATCGAAAATTTAACAAAAACAAGAAACGAATTAACATGATATTTATCTCGATATAAAAATAAAAAAAATCATATGTTGTTCTAATATATAAAACAACTAAAAAAACAAAACAAGTCGTTGCATTAACACTTATAGTTGATATACTTAAATCCATGTATCTTATAAAAAAAAGTGTCCTAAACAAGTCTTAAACTTTCACCAATGACTACTTAGTGTCAGCAACAAACAGATTTGTATCAATAAATGTTAAAGAATAGTATTATGGGTCATTTTTTCTATATCTTAATGATTAATCATTAATATTGCGAGTATATTGATGTAAATATTAATGAGCTGAAGAAAATTAATGTTTCAATACCAACAATCTAGTAACAGTCGTCAGCATTTTTTAGAGTTCATAGGAATCAAGTAGTCTTTTGTCGTTAGAAACAGCTCATTCCTTATGTAGATGGTTCGGAATCGGAAGACACAAAGAGACAATAGTTCACTCCATGGATGGGTTTTAGGGTCTCTTCTCTTCATTCTTATCCATCTGCCCATGTCATCCTTGAAACAGGAACAATGATTCAATAATATATTTGTCAAAATCAATGGACGGTTTTAGATTAGGAATATATTTAGAATGCTACTCCTTTACGATACAATCACCAGAAAAGAAACAAGAAAATATTTTTCTTCTTATCACAGAAAATTTTCATTCGGCAAAGACAGTATGTGTCATAAATAATATTATGATAAGATTTACGGAACCTAACAATTTCACTAACTCAAAATTCAGTCTATTGAAATGAGCTAAGGCGGAAGTATTTAAATTTGTTATCGTAGTTTTGTTGATAGTCTATTCTGTATATGAAACAAATTAAATATTCTAATTGTTCATGTCTTGGTGATAAGAGAGGTCTATGTTATATTACTAGACTTAAGTATGCAATCGCTTCTTAGGTTCTTTCTGATCCACAGATTTTCATTTTGATATTTATTATCATCATCGAGTTTGTTACAAATGGATTTTCTATTATATAAAAACCACATCAATTGACTTGTATTTTCTTGTTTTTGATCAAATAGAAATTTTTTTTTTTAAATCAAAACATCCTATAAAGATAGACTTCATATTAGTAAAAAGGTAAAACGAAAATCAAAGATTGACTTTCATCTTTGTTTTTGGTAATAGTTTTCTTATTTTATTTTGCACTTGATTCAAGGCAAAAAATAAAAATAAATTACAAATCATAGATATTTATCAATTATTATTTAATGTCTTTGTAATTATAGATATTTCTAATCATCCAGGGACTTTTCTAGATTAGTTGATTTTGAATGAACAGAATTAAGACGACTTGTTCGGCTTAAACTAGCCAATTTCGTTGACTAAAATAGAAGAAACAAAAAAAACAAGAATAATTAATGAGTTAGTTTCTTTTTTCTTTGATAATAATTTAGGGAAAATACGTGTTGAATTCGATTTCATGCGTATATAGGAATGAACTAAAAGTGTGTATATTTGGATAAATAAGTGCATAACTAAAGGTTGATATCTTCTAACCGGTCTCAATGGATCGAGTCCCATTGTTGAATAAACATACGTGTCACGTGAAGAAATGGCACCTGATCGAATTTTATCAAATAATCGATTAAGTTTTCGATTTAAATCTTCAATTTCTTTTTTTCTTGGATCAATTTCTTCTTCATTGATATTTAATAAATGTTTTGGTTTAAGTACACGTCGTTCAATTGATTGTATAATATCAAAACGACGAATTTTTTCAAGACCATGAATAAGATCATCAACTTTAGCACGTGTATGAAAACGTCGCCATTTTGTTAATGCATCCATAGCTTGATCCTAGATAAAAATTTACATGACATGATCAATCAATATAAATTTATATTTACTTGAAAAACATCTCCACGGTGATATTTTTCATCAATATGTTTTATATCTTTGGACATTTCTTCTTGACCACGTGTGGGATAAAATGGTAATTGCCAATAAAATCGACTCCAATCACGACCAATATATCTTGATACAATACGTATTGCTCGGAAAAGATCATCTTAAAGAAAAGAAAATTTTTATTGTTTATTTAAATTGAATTTTTGATAGGAGTCTTATGAAAAAGTGTCTGTGCAATCGAATTTTTTTAAACAACATCTAGACTCGCATTATTAACAGAAGCTATCGAGTTTACAGTCAGAATGGATGCGATATAGGATCCGTTCTATAATAATTAATTGTAAAATAAGATATTACAGAAGAAGTTTGCTTTCAATGATAATATTAACCGTACAATTAGATTTACTATGTGTGTGGTACGTTGATTTGGACTCGATCGAGTCAATTTTTTCGATACAATTAGTGTCTACCATAATAGATGATTGTTCAAACTGTTTAAACAATTTCGAGTTTATTGAAAGACTGATTCTTTATTGAAGAATAATAGATCAACTAGAAGAAGAAAACATTTGCGCTTAGTGTCGCAAATAACTTTTTTCGTGACGCTTGCTTGTCAGCAAGATGAAAAGGTCTCAAGTCAAGGACAACATCTACACCAGGAATCTATATATATATAATTGATTTTTTCATGAATAAAATGTCCGACAGGATTCCATAGGACAATGAATTCACGAGAAGTTGTTATTTGGAAGCTACTGTCCTAAGCTATGTCAAATGGAAATGCGTCTGTTGACTGATTAAATTCATTTTTAATTAAATAGTTCTTCAAAATTTGAAACTTATGACAATTGAAAACATTTTTATTTCTATAATCTTACCATCTTCAGTGTCTCCATCATGTTTTATATGAACTGGTAAATCATAAAAAATTTTTTGTGGTAAATCATTTGTTTTTCGACATTTATAAATATTACGTATAATATCACGACAATTTTGTATACGATTAAAATAATTTTCTTTAAGAATTTTATCTTCTAATGCTAATTGTATTTCGTGTTCAAGTCTTTTACTTTCATTACGCATTTCAATTAATTCATCTTTACGTTGTTTAAAATAATTTATACGTGTTTGTATAGCATCAACTTGTGATTTTAATTTTGGTAATTCTTTTGAAAGTTGTTTTAAATCTTGTTGAAATCTTTCAATTACAAGATGATTGTCAATATTATCTTGTGTTTCATTAGATTTTGGAAGATATTTATTAAGTTGTTCCTCATATACTTCATATGTTAAACGTTTTGAAATATATTCACGTTCTTTTACATTGAGACGTGTTTCAAATTCTTCATATTTTTTTTCATTAATTTCATTTTCTTGTTCAAGTTTATTTAATTGAAAACGATGTGATTCAGCCTTGAAAATAAACAAAAAAAGAATGTTCTTGTTAATTGTTAAATTCTCTTTTTTTTTGTTTAAATTCAATACCCGACGTTCAATTTGACTTAATTGAGATTTATTGATTTCAAAAGCTTTTTTTGCTTCAAGATATTTTTCTTCAAGTAATTTAAGTGATCTAAACGAAACTTTCCTTCTTGTTTTTTTCTTTTTGTGTAAATCAGAAACTTACGTTTGAATAAAATCATTATATTTTGTATCTTCACTTAACCATATACGAAGTGAATTTAAAGTTTGTCGTGCTTCATAATAACATTCAGGTAAAATAAATACATATGATAGTGATGTACAATCACAACGAAGAGCTAAGTCTTGAGTCTCTTTTGATAATGCTGAAAGTACAACACCTTTTGTATCTTCTACACGTTGTGGCATTTCACGTAGAACTTTTAAAGATTTATTTACTTCAAACATATGTAACCAACGAGATTTTTCATAAGTATATGCTGTTTCAAGATATTCATCCTATGTATTCAAAATAAAAAGGATCAATTCTTATAAATTCTTTTTTTCTTGTGCCATAATTCAAATAGACAATGAGATTTTTAAAAAATGGTTCCTTTTAACCTAAGAACAAAGAAAAATGTGATTTTTTTGTTGTTGACTGTAATCGCATGAAAAACCGATCAAGAATTTTGAGTAGAATATCTATGACTCCTAAATAACTAAATTTTATGTTTCCATAGCTTTTTAGGTCTTGCATAAGCGGTTCGGATACACATCGGACAATTGAAAATTCATTGTAATCAAATCACATAGTACATTTATTTTCAAAAAAGTCAACTAGAAAAACACTTGTAATATTTTTCAATAGAATGAGTCGGATCATTCATTCATAGAAGATTTTAACAGTTAACGACAGGCAACAAAAAAATAATATATTAATTTGATCTTTTCTATTTCTTGTGAATGTACCGAGTCAGCTGTTAGCAGAGTACCTGAAATCCGTTCATCCACTAATGTTGCTAGATTTACCTAATAGAATAGTGTTATTAAGTGTACAGAACTCAACATTATAGAAAAATTTAATTCTTAGAATTTGATCATAAATCTACTATTCATTACAATATCAAATATAATACGTGAGAATGATGGTTTTCTTTAGTTATAATGAAATATATCATTTACTATCTTTAAACAACCTGAAAAAATGAATTAGTTCTAGAGGATACTGTATGTCTTTACAATTCAACTGATATTGAATATTCAATCAAAGAAAAATTAGAATGTACGTACTTTGATAATTATTAACAAATAATTTCAAAAGCAGTATTCAATACTTTATTTATAAAAACTATTTATTTGTTATTTTTCTTTGCAATTAAAACTACTCTATTCTGATTTTGTTCATGTTTAATACTTACAGGTAATTTTTCTTTTCTTTTCTTTTGAATAATATCTTGTACATGATCAATTTCATAAAATGAAAGAAAATATTGTTCCATTAAATTCATTGAATCAGTTATTTTATTTATTAATATTGGTATTTTTGAATAAAGTTGTTCTGTTGTTTTATCCAAAATTCTTTTCATTAAAGGTACACTTTCATTTGTTATAGGTCCATATAATGTACCTGTCTTTGCTTCACTAAGTATGTCACGTATTGTTTTACCATTACGAATATCATGTAATAAACGTGCTTCACGTAATTGATTTAATGGTAGTGACCATGCTTGAAGTGTAATAACAGATAATGACCGATTTGTAATTTGATTTGTTGATGATGTTATAGCTAATGCTGGTGATCCTTGCAAATAATCATTTTCAGCATCATCAATAAATGTTGAACATTCATCAAGAGCTTCTTCAATATATTTATAGATTTGCTCATAAGATGTTGGTTCAGTTGTTTTAGACCATGGTTTTGGTGGATGCATATTATTAATACTTTTTGTACCTCAATTTAAATAAAAGAAATCTCTTGAAATGATCTATATGTCTTTTATTTAGTTTTATGTATCGATGTTGCCATAGTCGTACAAAAAATGCTTGTCGATTGTGTTTTTTTTATAAATAGACTTGAGTCCACAATCGTGTTTGACAACGAATCAGTCGGAACAAATTGAAATCATTGTTGTTTATGTTTCGCACAGAATCGTTCTTTCTTTTTCCTTCATCAATTATAATGGAGAGTCATCCAAAGTAACAAAAGAAAAGTGGTCGCTATTTAAATCGTCACCTTTTTTTTCTTACTTTTCTTTAGCATAAAACATTCAAGGATTGTCAAGAGAAAAAAATTAGAATACCAATTGATATAAATTGTTTGTGAATATTAGTAATAAGAAAAGTAATGCTTTATTTCTTCTCTCGTTGTACAGAAAACAAAACAAAAAAAAAAGATCCTTTATCCAGAACTAATATAAAAAAAAAGAAAACTCTTAATTACAAATGCGAATGTTCAGTAAAAACAAAAAGACTAGCATTCAATGTCTAATGAACACGTGGTCTTGTATATGTTGATATCGTAGGTTTAAAAAATCCCATTTCATTGAGAACAATTTTAAGTAAAAATAAATGAAATATAATNAAAAACATCGTGAAGTCTTAAATATACTTTAACATAACCATACAAATGATAGTCTTTGTTATTTAAAATCGATTGTATTTATTTTTTGATTTATCTCGATTTTTATTTATGGTTAATCCTTCTTATCATTTCTATTGTAGAAACTCAAGGACCAAACAAATGGATTTAAGTAAAATTAATCTAAGTAGTTATTTGCCAACAATGCCATATAAAGCTCGAGAATTATTTGATAAAGCAACAAATATTGTTATGAATTATACAGAAACTGAAACTAAAGTTGTTGAAGCTACTAATGATGAATCTTGAGGACCAGCCGGAAAATTATTACAAGATCTTTCTCAATTATCATATTCACGAGAACATTATAATGAAGTAATGTTCATATTTCAAAGATTTTATTTTATTTATTTTTTTGTTTATTTTAGTTAATGGGAATGCTTTGGAAACGATGTTTTACTCAAGATAAAAGACTTTGGAGACGAACATATAAAGTATGTTTTATATGTTTGCCCTTAATTTTGTTATCAGCTCATACGAGAAAAAACCAGTTCGATACTGATTTAAATCTTGTTCGTGTAAATATTTCATTGAATGTAAAAAAAACAACAACAGCTGGAAATGCTATCGCTATTATTTAATACAGCCCGGAGTTATTTTTACGTTAATACTGGATTAAGTTTTTCGACATTTCAATGAGCATAAACTATATGTTGATCGTAAAGATTTAATAGTGACAATGGACCATCAGGCTCAAAATTTTCTATTCGGTGACGGACGAGTGCACTCTGCACATTTCTGAGACGAGTCGTCCGGCAAATGTGTAGGATAGGATCCGACGTTTTCCGACCTGGGTCCACCCCAACGACTCTACTTCTAGGATTTTCTTTGTTATTTTGAAATCTGCTTATAGGCAAATGATAAGCGCGAAATTGAGGAAAAAGTTATGGTTAATGTTTTGTTCACAGAGAGGTGGCCGCTTCGTCGAAGATCGGGTGGGTCCTCCCGGACTTTTAAATTACCTCTCCGGAACAGAAAATCTATATAAAACAGTGATGTAATGACATTCCTTACGAATCGGATCGTATAGTGAGCGTATAATCTGCAACTTTTTTTCAGGGAATTTTTGAATATGCAAAATTCATAATTCATAATCAAGTTTTGTTCGTACCCATATGTTTTTTTGATACAAGAAAACTGATTTATTGAGAAGAAATTCCGTTATTTGCTGAATTTGTTTTCTATCTAATCTTGAAATACAGTAGATTTAATTAGCATGCGTTGCCTTCTGTTTGAGTCACTTCTTGTGTTGGCATATTTAATAAGAAATGGTAATGAAAAAGTGGTTAAATCAGCACGTGAACATCTATATGATCTTAGAAGTTTAGAAAATTTTTCTTATCATGATGAACATGACAATGATCAAGGAATTAATAGTAAAGAAAATCATAATTTTCAATTGTAATTATTTATTTATTTTGTTTCAAGTACGTCATAAAGTAAAAGAATTAATTGAATTTATTGAAGATGATGATCGAATTCGAGATGAACGTAAAAAAGCAAAAGCTAATCGTGATAAATATATTGGTATGAGTAATGAATCATCATCTTCAATAAATTCTTTTACTTTATGACGTACTTGAAACAAAATAAATAAATAATTACAATTGAAAATTATGATTTTCTTTACTATTAATTCCTTGATCATTGTCATGTTCATCATGATAAGAAAAATTTTCTAAACTTCTAAGATCATATAGATGTTCACGTGCTGATTTAACCACTTTTTCATNAAAAAACTTATGTTTTTGTTTTTTTCTTAACTTTAAATAATTTAGATGATCGATGGAATAATAATGATGAATTATCAAATTCAACAAAAACAAAAGATTTCGTATCGGAAAATTATTCATTAGATAAAAGGTAGATTTTATTAAAATTTGCTATGATGATTATTTTCATGCGCGTCATCTGTATGTTGGCATGATGATTGCATTTCATTTTCCATTCATTTTAATCTGAGCAAATTTTAAGAAAATTTTCAAATATTTTTTTTTTGTTTTGTTTATTCGTTAGTAATGACAATAATCAAAATGTTAAATCAAAATCAAAAAAAGATCAAAATAAAACAGGTAAATTGAAAAAGAAAAATTCATCCCTTATGGCAAATCTTGAAAACATTATAAATTATTCAATTTTCATAACGTTATGAATTTTTCCAAAAGAAATTATTTCTTGTTTTGGCCTTCAACCCTACACAAGTGAAATATCAAAATTCACTTGATGTTTCTTTATTTGATCATACAAAACTTCATGTTTTTCTTTTTCATATTTAGGATAACAATACAAATTCATCTATACAAAATCTAGTGAGTTATTTTATTTTATTCTTTATTATGATAGAGATTAAAGTAATCATTTTATTAAACACATAATTGTAAACTTTAATCAAGCTATCAAAAAGAAAAATATCTATCAGATGTAGACAACAATTTAACATTAACAAAATTGTTAAAATCGTTTGCACAAGCTGATACAAATTTTTAGAACTTAGTTTCCAATTCTATAAGTGAAGGTGATAGCCAAAATTTTTCAGATTTAGATCAAACAAGCTATGAATATCTTTGTGGAAGGAAGATTCAGGTCTTTTGATTTATTCCTATTCTGAAATATAAAAAAACATTAAATCTACCAGTGTATATATAAGACATACTTTTACCATTGTCGTATTTTCGGAAATGAATAATGAAAAGATCTGACATTTTCACAGCATTGAATTAAAAGATGCAGTATCTACTCAGAAATAAGCGGAGGACCCGAAACTATTTTCAAGTTATTTATGGTTTATTGGAGTTTACAAGATACACATAATCTCAACTAAAAAACGATTAACTGGTTAATAGACGTTCTTTTGTGTGCTTCCATCTGGTTACGCCGTTAGATTCTATAATACACTAAAGAAAAAATATTAGTTTTTGATATCACTAAAAATGTTTCCGATTAAATTTAGGCTTTTATCAATAACAAAAAACCATCATTAACAAATGAAGAACCAGTAGTTAATTTATTAGGTGATGATATTGAATTTACACCTTATGTTCAAAGTCACAAGATGCTGAATTTGGTCAATTTCAAGAAGCAATATCTCCAACTTCTCCGTATGATTTTTTTAAAAATTTCAAACAAAAAAAGAAAAATTAAATTCATATAATTATCTAGAGTTCAAACAACACATTGGCCAACGTCAACACAATCTTCATCATCGATGATATTTGATCCATTTGCATCATTAGAAACATCACCGAATCATTTTCAACCAAATCTATTTTCATCTAATCAACAACAAACATTTACAAATTCATCTATATTTCAACAACAATCAAATATAAATTCAATGAATGTAAGTCTAAGAAATGATTAGTTTTAATAAGAAATCAAACAAAGAATTCGAGAGTATATAAAAATATTTATAGATTAAATTTCCCCAACAACAACCATCGGCCATCGTAGAGAAAAAGGTATATTTCTCCTCACATTAGAAATAAATACTAATCTGCTTCATATTCACGCGCTATTCTTAATTTCTTATTTTACTAATCAAACTCAATCTATATTAATATGTACTCTATAATGAAATATCGTTATCGTCTTCTTTCTTTATAACTCATGATTAAGTCATGTTCCTCTATTATCTATCGAGACTTCATTCGCAATGCATCACATCGTATAGATAGAGAAAAAACTCATTGTCTAATTGACAAATTTTAGTATTTTAAAAAAATCATTCGTCACTCGCACTGTGTCTCTCAGAACATTTGATAGTTTTTAATGAACTAAAAATTGACTTCTATACTTTTTTAGTTCCATGTTATCAGATAATCTGAGTGATGCATTCATTACATTATTTTTCTCATTCACACTTCGTAGATTTTAATATAGATACGTTGAACCATACTTATTATGATATATTAATTTGAGAAACTATCGAGCTCTAGGAGAAGTTGAGAAAAAAATTTCTATATGACTTTATCAAACTACATTATCTAAGAAGTTTATGTGCAGTTCAAAAATGCAAAGAATTATATTTCAATTATCTTGAAAGAAATATAAAATAAGCTGATTATTACTGCCACATGAGTATTTCAATAATGGGTATCGTATTCATTTCATCCTGACTTGCTTTTTGAATCCGATACACTCACATTATTTCACCTAATACATTGTTCATCTTCGTGAACAGAATAGTATTAAAACATGTAGAACAAACGAAATTAGATACAACAAAAAACAATGAACTAATCTATAGAATGATTTACATTGTTATTTTTGTTCTCGATTGGATAGGCTTGACTTCTATTACATTTTAATGATTATAACTTTGATACTAGGTTTCTATTCTATGGGGGTAAGTTAGTAAAATAAACTTGATGGTTAGATGTATGATTAATTTAGACGTCAATTATATACGTTTGATTATAAATTTAATAGACTAATTCAATTTTTTCTTTTAGAATACTTGGTCATCAGCAGCGGGAAAATTAGATATATCATTAAATAATTTAATTCCACATACACGTGGTGATCAACAGAAAACATCATTAACACTAAATCAATTAACTAGTTCAACTAAATCTGATTTTTCCATATTAAATACAAATACTCAATCAATATTTTCTACTCCGAATAAAAAAAATAACAAAATTTTATCATTTTTTTTTAAATTTTTCGTCCTTTTAATGAATGATTGAGCAAGTAAATAATTGAATTAAATGAGAATATATGTTGTAAAGAGCTTAGATATTTATTTTTTAGTAATTTATCTTGATTGACTTATTCTTATAGTGATCTGCAATTTTTCGTTTCTTCTTTGTTTTTGTTTTTAATNGCTCCGGAAACGGAAATTCAAAGAAGGTTTAGGATTCTCTGGAGCCTCGGATCATCTTTTAGGTCCTAGAATATTATTATTCTTTCGTATAAGAAAAAACTCGTTCTGAGATTAACAATTGTCTTTGTAGGACAACTACCTGTAGGCTTGGTCTATCTTTCTATATGAGACTTGTATGCTTTATGAGTAGAACGTGATATCCCTGTTATGAAGCCGATTATATTTCTCAAATTAGTATAAACAATGTATAATTCTAAATATAATACTAACCTGTAAATGGTAAACTAACGATTTCTCCATACTGAATGGGCTCATGATTAATAATAGCATTCATATTCAATACATCATTGGAAAATTGTTCTAATCTTGTTTGAAGACATTGATTATAATGAACTAATAAATCAACAAGAAACTATTAATTAATAAATAAAATTTTATTATTAAAATCTATACCGTTCCTATAGTTTACTCGATGAGGTATCCATTTCGATAGAAGATAAAGAATAATCGTAGTTCCAAGAATGCATAGAAAAAATGTTCGTCGAGATCTTAATTAAAAATTAAAAAAAAAACAAACAAAAAATAAATCATAAATAAACAAAATTCCTTTCAAAAACAAAAAAAAAGAGAATTTTGATTTAATCGACTAACTTATATATTCCAAATCGATCTTTTATTTGTTGTGTAATCAATCATATATTCAATATTTTCAAATCTGCCATTGAATATGCCATCAAAACACATGTTTTTTTATCTTATCAAAACAATCAAAACCTAAAAAAAGAAGTATTAATCAACATCGATCAATAAATATATTTTGACTTACCTACCTATTCTTCAAACGACGATATATAATACCATAGCGATGATCAAAATTTTTTAATATATCCTAAATCATTAAAAAATAAAACAAAATAAATTCCTTTTAATTAATTATAACATGCTTTTATATCGATATTCATGGCAAATCAAATAAATAAACAGATGAGAAATTTCTAATATTTTTTAATTGGTGCGATAAATTTTAACCAGTATCGACAGTCAATTAGTGACATCTTAAAATATAGGTTTTTTTCATGTTATATTTTTCCTTCATATTTTAAATAATTTAATTTAATTTAACTTTTCTATTAGAAAAATTTCAAATAAAAATTTATCTTTTAATACCAGAAAAAAAACATCGTGAAGTCTTAAATATACTTTATAATAACCATACAAATGATAGTCTTTGTTATTTAAAATCGATTGTATTTATTTTTTGATTTATCTCGATTTTTATTTATGGTTAATCCTTCTTATCATTTCTATTGTAGAAACTCAAGGACCAAACAAATGGATTTAAGTAAAATTAATCTAAGTAGTTATTTGCCAACAATGCCATATAAAGTTCGAGAATTATTTGATAAAGCAACAAATATTGTTATGAATTATACAGAAACTGAAACTAAAGTTGTTGAAGCAACTAATGATGAATCTTGGGGACCAGCTGGAAAATTATTACAAGATCTTTCTCAATTATCGTATTCAAATGAACATTATAATGAAGTAATGTTCATATTTTAAAGATTTTATTTTATTTTATTTTTTGTTTATTTTAGTTAATGGGAATGCTTTGGAAACAATGTCTTACTCAAGATAAAAGAATTTGGAGACGAACATATAAAGTATGTTTTATATAATTGCCTTTACTTTCTTATCAGCGCATACGAGAAAAAAAACCAGTTCGATACTGGTTTAAATCTTGTTCGTGTAAATATTTCATTGGAAGGAAAAAAAAAAACAACAACAACAACTGGAAATACTGTCGTTATTATTCAATGCAGCCCGGAGTTTTTTTTTCACGTTAATACTGGATTAAGTTTTTCAATATTTCGATGAACATAAACTATGTGTTAATCGTAAAGATTTAATAGTGACAATGAATCTTCGGGCTCAAAATACAATAGCCGCTCCGAAGGCACAAGATAGTTTTCTTGTATTCGGTGACGGACGAGTGCACCCTGCATATTTCTCAGACAAATCGTTCGGCAAATGTGTAGGGTAGAATCCATCGGATCCGACTTCGGTGCACCTCAGAGGTGGAACCGGGCCAGACAGAACCGGATTTTTGCCAGTTCATCATTACAAAATTGGTTTTTGCATCCAAGAATTTTCTTTACTGAAAACGGTTTTTTATGATATTTTCAAGTCAGAAGAATGAGTTTGCGAAAGACTCAATAGATCTCTTGTCTTCTACTTGACTATAAACGATTGGTTGTTCTCTTTATATCTCTATCGATTTCTTACTCGTGTATCGCTCAAGTTGATCTTGATCAAATAGTTTATTCTCTTGTTCTATTTAGGCAGCTGCCTGAATCAAGAAAAATAAATATTTACCTTTTTTGTGTTAAATTTTTGTTATAAACTTGTTTTTTTTTCATTTTTGAAATTAAGATGAAAAACAGATTTGATCTGTATAACTAATTCATATCGATGTCGGGCTCGAGAAGTCGACGCGCCGATCTATAAAATATGAAGGGAGAGTTTCAGTCCCAAGTTTTAGTTTCCAGTTCGGATTAGGGGTGGCGATTTGCTGTTAATTTATTATAATTTTAAATTGGATCTACATAAATTTAAATTTTGTAAAATTATTTAAATTCAAAATAAATAAAACTTTTTAAAATTTATTTTTGGGTTTATAAATTTTTCGTAAATGTAAATTGATCACACCCTAGTTCGGATTCTTGCATGTAAATATTCAATTCCTCTCCGCCAACACTTTATGTGAACAGATACTTTTATGGTCGTCTATTTTTGCCAGTTTGACAGTAAAATTCGTCCGGCCGATTGCTGACCGGACAGAAAAAACCTGTCCGATTCCACCTCGGGTGCACCTCGACGACTGTACTTCTAGGATTTTCCTTGTTATTTTGAAATCTGCTTACAGGCAAATGATAAACGCGAAATTGAGGAAAAAGTGAGGGTTATTGTTTTGTTCACTGAGAGGCGGCGCCTTCTCGCAGATCGGGTGGAGCCTTCCCAACTTTTAAATTGCCTCTCCGGAACAAAATCTGTATAAAACACTGATGTAATGACATTCCTTACGAATCAGATTGTATAGTGAGCGTATAATCTGCAACGTTTTTTTTTGAAAAGGAATCTTTGAATATGTAAAAGTCATAATTCATAATCAAGTTTTGTTCATACCCATAGGATTTTTTGATACAGGAATACTGATTTATTGAGAAGAAATTCCGTTATTTGTTTTCTATCTGATCTTGAAATACAGTAGACTTAATTAGCATGCGTTGCCTTCTGTTTTAGTCACTTCTTGTTTTGGCATATTTAATAAAAAATGGGAATGAAAAAGTGGTTAAATCAGCACGTGAACATCTGTATGATCTTAGAAGTTTAGAAAATTTTTCTTATCATGATGAACATGGCAAAGATCAAGGAATTAATAGTAAAGAAAATAATAATTTTCAATTGTAATTATTTATTTATTTTGTTTCTAGTACGTCATAAAGTAAAAGAATTAATTGAATTTATTCAAGATGATGATCGAATTCGAGATGAACGTAAAAAAGCAAAAGCTAATCGAGATAAATATATTGGTATGAGCAATGAATCGTCATCTTATCGTTCTAGTGAGAAAAGAAAAAACTTATCTTTTTTGTTTTTTTTCTTAACTTTAATTAATTCAGATGATCGATGGAATAATAATGATGAATTATCAAATTCAACAAAAACAAAAGATTTCGTATCGGAAGATTATTCATTAGATAAAAGGTAAATTTTATTAAAATTTGCTATGATGATTATTTTCATGCGCGTCATCTGTATTTTGATATGATGATTGCATTTTATTATCCATTCATTTTAATCTGAGCAAATTTTAAGAAAATTTTCAAATATTTGTTTTTGTTTTGTTTGTTCTTTAGTAATCAAAATGTTAAATCAATATCAAATAAAAATCAAAATAAAACACAGGTAAATTGAAAAGGAAAAAAAAGGAAAGTTCATCCCTTATGGCAAATCTTGAAAACATTAGAAATTATTCAATGTTCGTAGTGTTATGAATTTTGCCAAAAGAAATTATTTCTTGTTTTGGTCTTCAACCCTACGCAAGTGAAATATCAAAATTCACTTGACGTTTCTTTATTTGATCATACAAAACTTTATGTTGTTTTTTTCATGTTTAGGATACCAATACAATTCCACCTATACAAAATCTAGTGAGTTATTTTATTTTATTTTTTATTATGATAGAGATTAAAGTAACAATTTTATTAAACACATAATTGTAAACTTTAATCAAACTATCAAAAAGAAAAATATCTATCAGATGTAGACAGCAATTTAACATTAACAAAATTGTTAAAATCGTTTGCACAAGCTGATACAAATTTTTAGAAAACTTAGTATTCGATTTTATAAGTGAAGGTGATAGTACAAATGCCTCTAGATAGAGTTCGTCGGGTCCAAAATTTTTCAGACTTAGATCAAACAACCTTTATTTGGCAAGCTACGAATATCCTTGTGGAAGGAAGATTCAGATCTTCTGATTTGTTCCTATTCTGAAATATAAAAAAAAAAAACATTAAATCTATCAGTGTATATAAGCAATATAAAAGACACGCTTGTATCATTGTCGTATCGTCGGAAATAAATAATGAAAAGATCTGACATTTTCACAGCATTGAGTTAAAAGATGCAGTATCTACTTAGAAATAAATGGAGAATCCAAAACTACTTTCAAGCTATTTATGGCTTATTGGGAGATACACATAATTTCGATTGTAAAACGATTAACTAGTGAATGGATGTTCATTGTGAGTTTCCGTCTGGTTACGCCGTTAGATTCTATAAAGAAAAAATATTAGTTTTTGATATCACTAAAAATCTTTCTAATTAAATTTAGTCTTCGATGAATAACAAAAAACCATCATTAACAAACGAAGAACCAGTAGTTAATTTATTAGGTGAGGATATTGAATTTACAGCTTATGTTCACGCTTCACACGATGCTGAATTTGGTCAATTTCAAGAAGCAATATCTCCAACTTCTCCGTATGATTTTTGTTTTAAATTTCAAACAAAAGAAAAATTAAATCCATATAATTATCTAGAGTTCAAACAACACTTTGGCCAACATCAACACAATCTTCATCATCGATGACATTTGATCCATTTGCATCATTAGAAACATCACCGAATCATTTCCAACCAAATCTTTTTTCAACAAATCAACAACAAACTTTTACAAATTCATCAATATTTCAACAACAATCAAATATAAATTCAATGAATGTAAGTCTAATAAATGATTAAAATTTAATAAAAAATCAAATAAAGAATTCGAGAGTATATGAAAATATTTATAGATGAAATTTTTCCAACAACAACCATCGACTATTGTAGAGAAAAAGGTATATTTCTCTTCACATTAGAAATAAATTCTAATCTGCTTCATATTCACGTGCTATTCTTATTTTACTAATCAAACTCAATCTATACTAATATGTATTCTATGATGAATTACCGTTATTACCTTCTTTCTTTAGAACTCATGATTAAGTCATATTGCTCTATTATCTACCGAGATTTAATAATTTAAAAAAAACACATTCTTCACTTTGCACTGTGTCTCTCAGAACTTTTGATAGTTATCAATGAACTAAAAATTGACTTCTATACTTTTTCAGTTCCATGTTATCAGATAATCTGAGTGATGTATTCATTACATTACTTTTTTCATTCATACTTCGTAGATCTTAATATAGATACGCTGAATCATACTTATTATTATATATTAATTTAAGAAACGAGCAAGCCCTAGAGAAGTTGAGAAAAAGAAATTTTTCTATACGACTCTCAAACTATGTTATCTTAGAAGTTCATGTGCAGTTCAAAAATGCAAAGAATTATATTTCAATAATGGATATCATATCCATCTCATCCTGACTATTGTTTTTCGAATCCGATACACTCTCACATTATTTCACCTAATCCATTGTTCATCTTCGTGAACAGAATAGTATTAAAACATGTAGAAAAAACGAAATTAGATACAACAAAAAGCAATGAACTAATCTATATAATGATTTACATTGCTTTTTTTGTTCTCGATTGGATAGGCTTGACTTCTATTACATTTGAATGATTATAACTTTGATACTAGGTTTCTATTCTGTGGGGGTAAGTTAGAAAATTAAAGTTGATGGTTAGATGTATGATTAATTTAGACATCAATTATATACGTTTGATTATAAATTTAATAGACTAATTCAATTTTTTTTTTTTAGAATACTTGGTCATCAGCAGCAGGAAAATTAGATATATCATTAAATAATTTAATTCCACATACACGTGGTGATCATCAGAGAACATCATTAACACTAAATCAATTAACTAGTCCAACAAGTCCAACTAAATCTGATTTTTCCATATTAAATACAAATACTCAATCAATATTTTCTACTCCGAACAAAAAATAACAAAATTTTATCATTTTTTTTTTTAATTCGTCCTTTTAATGAATGATTGAGCAAGTAAATAATTGAATTAAATGAGAATATATGTTGTAAAGAGCTTAGATATTTATTTTTTAGTAATTTATCTTGATTGACTTATTCTTATAGTGATCTGCAATTTTTCGTTTCTTCTTTGTTTTTGTTTTTAATATGTGCACAAATTCAAACAGTGCAATTTTCGTTTTCTCATTATATTCATTATATCTCATTATTTATATGTATGTTTTGAATTTATTGTAATATTTATTCAATTGTTAAATATAATTCTTTGTTTTGTATTCAAATAAATAAAAAAATTTTTTATTAAAATATATACCAATGAAATAGAAAGATAAAATTAAAAAAGACGAAAATAACGATCGGTTAGAATCATATCATCGACAAATCTAAAATTAAATTAACAATAGAAGAAGTTGAAATACAAAAAACAAAAGAAAAATATATTTTACTTAGTCATTTCGGATTGAGCATGAACATGATGTTTTTCATGAGTCCACGGTTCATTTACTTTCAATGGTGCATCTTTAGTCCACCAACCAACTGAAAAAAAAAATTAGTAAAATTTCTTAAATTCTTAATCATTACTTTCTTGAGCTGTTGTCAGTGCTTGTCGTGTAATATGATTAGGATCTTGATCTCCACGCACATGCATTGTACGTAATGTATGATAGTTTCTAAGAATTAAGTAAACTTAGGTTTTCTGATGTATTAAGAAAAGAAATTTACAAATTTGATATTGCTGGTGATGACCATTCTCGTGATTGTATATTTCCAGTCACTTCACGAGCTAATTGTTTTTCGGCTGGACTTCTTTCTTGAAATCCAGTTGGAACTTGTCGTAATTCAGTCGAACCAATAGCTGTGTTGATTGGTTCAAGACGTTTCATAGATTTGAATCGATTATCATGGCCCATCAATGTCAAATTAAAAAATGACATTTTCGATCTAAAATATTAAACTTCATGATAATAGATAAATGAATTGATCATATATAAATTTGTAAGAAGTTTTAAACCTATGAAATCAAGTTAAAATTCATATGACATATTTTTTTAATTTTCTGCATAGATTAACGATATTGAAATAAATCTAGAATTAAAAACAACACGATTAACTTAAATTTAATCAATTTAAAAGAAAGTTAAACTTGAATCTAATTATAAAATCATGAATTTTAAATGAATATGCATGTTTAAATTAGATTTTATTGATCTTGAAAATAAATAGAAAATTCGTATGTATGAAAATGAAACAAAAAAAATCACCTATTCATAAACAATAAGTACAACTGACGGGGTTTCATTTGTAATTGTGTTTAATCATTATTTTAACAAAACTAACAAGATCATAGCAAGTTTTATTTCACTCAAATGAAAATGTAAAAAAACAGTCAAAATAAACATGTAAAAATGACGTTGCTATGAGCGTCTTTTATTTCACATAAATTTTCTTTTGTTCCTTTTTTTTTTCAATTACATATTGAGAGGTGAAATCAAAGAACAATATGTCGATTTGAGTCTGTATAATTTCGGTCAAGGACAAAGTCTCGAATAATGAAAATCAAATATCAGATGATTGATCATTAATGACTGATTTTTGTTGTCTTGTTTTTTGAAAAACAGTCTAAAATGGTTTCAATAATATTCGACAAAGATTTTATTTCTCTATAAAACCGTCTATTTTGTTTTTCAAACATATTCCCATTGATGGTAAAATATTGAAAATGCTAACACCTACTTAATTATCTATATGCGACTTACTCTTTTCTTTGAATCTCTAATAATTTGTTCAAAATTGATCTTTTCAATGAGCTCGGTATTGTCACTCAGTAGAAGAAGATTTCATTATCGAAAATAATCTTTTTGAAAGTCATATTCATCCTTTGTAACATTAATTTTCAGGCTGTCCAATGCAAAATTAAATATGAACAAAATAATTCCGCCCTCCACACATACACAATAAAACATTCCTGATTTTCTAATATGAACTTCTGTTCATAAAGGATCGAATATTGTTATTATATTTTATTTAGTTCAATATGATTATTTTTTCAAATACAAAAGTACAAAAAGAAAATAAGATGAATTACAGTTGAATTTCATTTTGCCATGAACTGACAATGAAGTTATTTTTAGCTGCTTCCTTTCGATTACAATATTTTTCTTCTATAGTTACTAAAAAGTATTCTAATGAAAATCTTAAAAGAATTGGAATTCCTATTGACATTTGATTAAACTATCGAGTTTTTTTCTAAAAGCTCCAGCTTTTGGAAAACTGGTATTTTCGAATTGTAATCTAGAACTTTATGCATATGTAGAGAACTGAGCTAGGCTAGCTTTTTGAAAAAATTCACAAGTTTTGATTGTTAAAAGTTCGAATTTTATTACAGAAACTAATTTAGCTGAGTTCTCTATATACATAAAGTTTCAGATCAAATTCGAAACGGAAACTTGTGATTTCTAGAAAATAGATACATTAAAAATTCACTAGTTTAATCAAATACCAATAGGAACCGAAATTCTCTTAGGATTTTTATTAGGAGATTATATTGCAACTATCGGTAAAAAAATTCTTGAAATCGAAATGCGGGAGGTATCTGAAGAGATTCTCTTCTGAGCTGTTTCGTTTTATTGTGACTGTTGATGATGTTCAACATATTTGAGTCATTAATTTTATTCAATCATCTTTTTGATTTATTATCGTTTTCAGATTCCAACGAATGATATACTGTTAAACATAATAATAATTCATTTTCGCATTCATTAATAGTCAAAGTAATTTCAACACTTAGAACTTTCACAATTATCAAAATTTGAATTTTCATCGTGACAAAAAAAACACACAATCTTATCTTTCTATATTTAATATACTCATTAAATGTGTATTGGTTTTGATACAAATGAAATCTACAAGTCATTTCATTTATTTTAAAACGATTTCAATCGATGTTTTTCTTTGTCAGTGACTCATTGAGATCCAATGATTTTCATATTAGTCTATGTCACACATATTGCAGATGTTGTTATAATATTATTGGTTTTTTGGATAAACAAATGTCTGGTAATAAAACATCTAATAAGATTGAAGGATATTTCAAATATCTTTTGACAGAATAATATTCATACTTAGTGAAACACAAATAGTTATCTGTAAAATATGTTTGTATACATCAAGAAGTACCATTAGGCATGTCTCTAAAAAAGCTGAAAACCATAACCAGTTATGTTGGAAAGTATGCCTGTTTAGTCCTCGCATTATTTTTGTAGATCATAACGCGTACTCGATATTACACACCTTGAGCACTAAGATCGTTTCTTTTACAATAATAGATAAATATCAATGATCTACGCTAAGTTTTTCTTCCCGTTTCTTTGCATGATTTAGGTCAATAGTACTAAAAAACAATTGTGCCAATACTGTTTTTTAACAATGAATTAAATAGCAAGAAAATGTTCTTAGTCTATATGTTATATATTGCTGTCAAACAACTATATATATTGTCATACGATATAGACGATAAAATTTTGGATTTTTATGGTTAAATAAAGCTGTCTAGGACTAGCTTTCAACTTTGTTTTAGAAATATGCCTAATGATACTTTTTGATGCATAGAACATATTTCAGATAATTATTCATGTTTCACTAAACATTAATATTATTCTGTCAAAAGATATTTGACATACCCTTCGATGTTAGTAGATATTTTATTACCAGACATTTGTTTATCGAAAAACCAATAATATTATAAGAACATCTGTAATGTGTTTGACGTAGAACTGATATGAAAATCATTAGAGTCTCAATGAGTTATAGATGAAACAAAAAAATCGATCGAAATCGTTGACTTCTTCTCGTATCATTTTTAGTTCTTTATTTTTCTCACGTTTTTTCACTTCAGTTGACAACAACTTTTGTTACTTTCTCCAAAGAAAATATATTTCCTCTTCTATTCTTTCAAAACTTTTGTTCTCCGATAGACATGATTCAATAATATTTCAAAGAAAAATAATTATTCAAAAAAATTAAGTGAATGGTTTTTTACACGATCGAAGTCTTCTATTATATACAATTGCAAACATTCTCTTTGATATTGTGACATATTTTTAACTTCCAGTCAGATATTTATTAAAAATTTTAACTGATTTTTCTTTCTTTTTTTTTCTGATTGTCGCAGATTGACGATAAAGTACATGTTGATCTTTTCAATTTTATACCAACAAGGGACATGCTTTTTCAAAAGAAAAAGAAAACTAGGCTGTTCTGTGCAAAAACAAATTCTCAGTCGAAATGAGATTAACAACAGGTTTTAAATAGCCTCGTAGTGAAAGAACGAAAAATTATTCATTGATGATTATGAATCATCTGATAATATACAAAAAACGAAGGAATTTTTCATGACAATAATAATATGCATATATTTTATTTTAAAATATTTCTAAACATTTAATAAACACATACAAATAACATTTATATGAATGCGAAAATAAATAATATAAATAATAATGAAACAACAACATAAAAATAAATAGATGATATACATGCGATGTATTTTATCTGAACAATATAAATAAAAATATACAATAACATGACTAGAAATAATAGATTCAAAGCATTAAATTTTGATCATTAAATGAGATTTAAAAATTTTTGCGGAAGTTAGGAATATAAAAGTGGCGTAACCACAGCACCGCTTTCTTCAACTCCTGCATGAGCTAAATATAAGAAGAAAAACAAATAATATTGAAAAGAAATATAATTATTAACTAATTATTTTATACTTGATCTTCGTTCTTTAATTGCAGTATTCATATGATTACTTTTAGAAACGCCACAACAGAAAAAACAAATTAATATTGAAGATACAGCTGATGAGATAATTATCAATAGAACAAAAAAGAGAATTACTTTCGAGCGATATGATAATGGTTCGTGATGATGGCCTAAAAGTTCATTTAGTATTTCATTTAAATATTAATTCACTTACTATATTCACATTGTGCTTCATCAACATTATTCGGACAATTTTTATATCGATCACAAACAAGACTTTGATCAATACAGTAAGTATCCGAAAAACAATCAAATGCACATTTTGTATACGTTCCTAGAAATATTTATATTATAAAAATTTAAAAAAAAAAGATTTTTTTTTTTCTTATAATATAATACTTGTTTTAAGTTTTAATGGTGTAACAATCATTGAAAATTTTGATAATGGTAATTTTTCTGTTCGAACATATATAATTGTTAATTGTTCTGTATCAAAATAATATTCACTACCATTTTTTGTATTACAATCAATTGTAATCTAAATAAATAATTAATTGAGATGATAGAATTAAAAATTTTAAATTAATTACCATTTCACCTGATTCAGCTCTCACAGTTACATTTTCTGTTAGACATAATGGTTGCATGACTAGATGTAAATAAAATCTTGTTGATATTGAAAGATTAGGTATTAATGAGCCATTTTGAAAAACTGGCAAACAACAACTTTGTATATTTAATACACATATACCAACCCATGGTGTTCTAAACAAAGAAAACAAAATGTATGAATAAAATTTAAAAAAACAGATTAACTATCTTATTAACGAACCCAGCATAACGAACTATTCCTGCATCTGGTGTAAATTTATTATTCGGATTACAATAGGGTCCATACGTATTTTCAAGATTGACTAAAATGAAAAACAAAAATGAATTCTTTTTAAGCTTATTATCGATGAAAAGATTATCTTACAGTATGTTACTTTAGCAAATGAACATGACAAAAACGTTGGAAGCAAAATATAAATTAGTGATAACATCTGAAAAAATGTGAAGAGAGCTTCTTTAAAGACATTGCAAACATTAATTTTATTCGTAAAAAAGGCTTTTTTTTTGCGTGAATTAATGACAATATTTAACACATATTAATGCTTTTAGCAACTCAAGTCAATGATAGCAGCGTCAAAATTCATAGATTTTCGTCAGAAACTAGTCGGAAGATGGTAACAACTTAAAATTATGAATCCTATAGTCGGCACTATCCGTTTCAACAGGAAAATACCGGAAAAAAAACATCCAACTTAAGAGTAGTACTTCGTTGGAAAAATCCGTCCGACATCCAACAATTTTTCAATTGGATACAATGACTATCTTGTATTCTTCCGATTGGTTCTGACGAAATTCGATATTATTTCTAGAGGCCCAAATCATGAAGCTGAAATTGCATTGAAGGAAAAAAAAGGAAAAAACATAATCTGACACAAGAAAACAATAAGCACATGAATTACAACAAACAAAGATCTTTGGTTTATAACTATTTCATATCTGACTTGATTTATTCCAAACGAGGATAAATCGGCTTTGTCGAATCAATGACTAATGGTGCAGGTTCATTATGTTGTCGAGGTAAAACGTCTACAGTACCCGGTGATGCTGTAAGTTCTTTCATTAGAACAGCATCTTCACCAGCCATTGTAGCGTCAGTTTCTAAAATTCAATTATTTAATAAAGTAAATAAAATTATAAATAATGACTAACTTTGATTAGATTTATTTCCTTGTCTGGAACGAAAACGTCGAATTATGCGATTAAATGCTGCTCGACAACAACAGCATATGAAAACTTAAATAAAATAATTACAAAAAGAATAAACATCTTTGTTTTGTTTTTTTTCTTCATTATTTTACCTGTTGATAAAACACAAATAAGAAACAAAAATGCCAAAAGTATAAGCAAAAATAAAACTATTGAAACGCCATTTCCAGGTGAAGCTAAATAAATAAAAATTGTATCATTTTGAATATGAAGTTACCGATACATTAGAAGATCGCCCATCCCTTTTTTTTTTAAAATCATTTCTACAACTTATTGATTTTTTCTTATGAGAAAAAGTCACCAACTGTTCTACCGCCTTTTTTGGTCGAAATCTAATCAGTACTCAAGCATGCTCATTCCAGATATGAACATGCCTTTTGTCGCTAGATTTTTGAAAATCCAATTTTCTCGGAAATAAGTTTTCTATAGTGAAAAACGATTTTCGTCAAAACTTTTTTCTAACCTGTCCAGTTTGTAAAGCGCATGGAGTTGAACATAAAGAAGTATTATGTCCAAAATTTGAACTATTACTAAGGCGACTAGAGGTGCAAAAGTTTGCAATGTTTAGACATATATAGCACACTGTGCAGTTCGTCAAAGAACTTGGAATTCTAATCTTTTGAGGTCTAATGATGGAAAAAAACTTGAGAGCGTGTGTGGGGATGAGGTCTCTATTCTACATCAAAATTTTTTTTTGAATGACAGGTGAAGTAGAATCTAAAAATTAAATCCAACAGGCATTTTACAATATTAACAGGATTTATGGTCATCAAGGTTCCGTACGAAGTGAAATAATAAGAAGATAATTACTTCTAAAAAAATGCAACATAATCCCTTTCCTGATAATCATAAACTAATTTTATTAGAAGAATGAGCGGGCAGATTATAATAATATAGCTTAAAAGAGATCAAAAATTGAATGAAAGATCTGAAATTGAATCGAACAACATCCGAAAGAGAAAAAAAAAGAATAAAATTAGTGATAAAACATATAGAATGTAGAAAATGTTGGAAAAAAGTGTAAAAGATAATTGAATTTTAAAACTTTTTACTCTTGTAGTCCACGCAAACTTTTTTTTATACTCAACTCGAGGCGATGCTCTATAAACTAGACTGATAAAAAAATAAAACTCACTATAGAAAACTGAATGTTTGAAGAATTAACGATAAATATTATGCTGATATTCGGAATCAGTATGATCGATTACCTATAATCCGTTAGGTTTTGGCTAAAAATTGATTGAACACTAGGTGACCTTTCCCTCGTAAGTGCAATATAGGCAATATTTTACTTTCGTCATCATAGTAAAATGTCAGCTTAGAACTAAAAAAGCCTTGAGAAATAACTAATTGGAAAGAACAGCCTATTGAAAAAATGCATTTCTTCATCAAAAACACATCACAAAGTCACATCAGAACTCTGTTGCTACATATCCTGAAAAAATTCTTTAGGCTCTCTATACGCAAAAAAAAAGTGCTTCCATAGTCATGGAATTTAATTGATGCATAATATGCATTTGCACAGATCACACATGAAGAGATACTTCTAAAATAGAAATACATGCCCAGAAAAATCTCTTTCCGTATTCAATTAAAAACCTCCTCACCTTTGCATTTTTCTTCTAGAAATTTAGAAATTTTTTTTATCAGAAAAGAGCTCATTTAATATTGAGAAAAATATATTTCTTTTTGCAAAAATGATCTAAATATATTTTCGAAACAAGCATAAAAAAGCCGCTGAATATATATTCGACTGCTGTTTTTCTATAAGCTGTTTCCTTTTAGACAACTGTATTCATGCAAATAAACTTGAGATTAATCGTTATGCTAGTAATACATTCCACTATGAATAAATTTCATCTATATTATTCAAACTTCAATCTAAGCAACTGGCTGAAATAAATGATCTTATTCTTTAGAAAAAAAAAACTTGGTTTCTAATGATGCATCAAGCAAAAATGAATCGAAATTAAGAGTGTTAGATAGAATAGAAGATTTTCAGGTCTTATAATATGTCGAAAGCTCTAGAAATCAATACATACCATGACAATAAAGTTCATCATCACCACTTGGACATTCAGATCGTCCGTTACATTTTAATGTTCTATCAATACATGAATTAGGATAATCTTTCGGACATTGAAAAAATACATCATCATCAGTACAAGGTTCTAAAACGAAAACAAAATTTAAAAATTAAATCTTTCAAAAAACAAAACAAAAATAGAAATTACCATTAGCTAATGCAACAACTTGTACGAGTGTTGTCTTTTTTATTTCTGGCACTTTAATATTTCTTTTAAATATTAAATTAATTGAACTACAAGGCATTATAATTTTATTTTCACTTGTATGACATGTAAATGGTACTGGTAATGGTTTTGTCTATAAATATAATATAAAATCAATAAAAATAAAAAACAAACTAAAGAAAATATTTACTTGATTAATTAAAGTAGCATCAGGAAGACAATCAACTATAAGTGTTGATGAACAATCCATTTCTCGCGACAGAAATAAACCAAATCCATTTTGGGTATTGGGTGGCCATGGATTTTTTATATGTACGGAACAATTATCGCTTCCATAAGCAATTTTAGATGAAAATTTTACTAGCATACTATATCTTTTTTCTATGTTATTATTATTTTCATTTGACCAACAATCATCGTCAGAATCAATTGTAACTGAAGTTTAAAAGAAAAAATTTTTCATTTCATATAAAATAAATAAATCAAATTTACCATCATGATATTTTGATGATACAATTGTCGGTATAAAAACAATAAAAAAAATAAACTTCATATTCTAGTATCTAAAAAATAAAAAAAAAGAAAGATTTATTTGTTTTTTTTTCACACACACAAAACAATGCATTCGAAAAATACATGAATTCAATAACCAAGAGCATAAAAGATAAATAAAATTATCATTGTATAGGAATCTATACTCACTAGATATATCAAGATGAAAAATAAAATAAAATAAAAATAAAGAAAACGAAATAATATTTTGATGTTTGATCTTTACAGATATATATATGAAGGATAATAAGAGAAATTAAATGTTTTTATATAAATACAATAATAGTATAGTAATACACAAGAAAAAACATATTTAAAAGAAAAAAAAACATCACTGTTAAGAAAATGAATTTTTCTTTTTCCAAATAAAATATACAAATAAACAAAAGAAAAACTATAACCGGTTAATACACATTATATATTTTTTGTCTAATAATGTATATATATATATATATATTTGTTTTTGTTTCTTAAATAATCTCTTATTAGCATAGACACTATTGAAATTTTTATTTCATACTTTGATTTATGAAAATTAATGAGTATTTCTAGGAAAATAATTTCTTTGTATTATATTTCCATCGGTTGAATCTGAATTAAGATCAATTCCATTTGTTGTCATAACATTAGCAAAATCTAACATTGATTCATTTGATGAAAGACATGATGTTGAATGAAATCTTTTTGTTTCAGCTATAATAGTACGTAATTGTGTATTTTCACGTTCAGCATGAGCTAATTTTTCATTTAATTGTTTTATTTGTTGTTTACATTGATCTAAATTTCCTTCAAGTTGTTCAATATATTGTCGACGACGTTCACGACAACGTCTTGCTGCCTCACGATTACTATCACGTATTTGTTTTTTACGTTGATCATCTGATCCCGTATTATTATTGTCATTTGCTGTTGATAATGATGAACCCGAATTTAGAGTGTTTGATTGTATTGGAATTGTTTTTTGTCGTTTTATACATAATAATTGATTACTTGATGTGACTTCATTTATAACTGGCTGTTGAGAAATAAGAATTGAATTAGCTTTTGGTATTGTACCACCTGAATATAAACAAAATTAATCTAATGAAATGTGTTACGAAAAAGAAAAAACTAAATTCAATTACCAGCAATAGTCTGTTGAAATGTTCGTTTATTAGCGGGTGTCATTGGTTGTTGTTTAATACTTGTTGGATGTATTCCATTTTGTTCTGTTTTTAATTGTATTGTATTAGGTCGTTTTAAACCATTATCTAATTGTGGGTTTGAATCAATAGGATGTATTGATAAAGGCATATCATGTAGAGGTTGAAAATCATGATTACTATATGATTGACGATCATCATCCATTGAACTTCCATCATCAACATCAGTTTTTTGTGTTTGAGAAAAGGGATTGTTTACAATTGATGTTGGTGATGTTGGTTCAGTACGAGATTGAGTTCTTTGTAAAAGTTTCTTTTTTGGTGCAACACTAAGGCCCATAGTATGTGATAATGAATCAAAATGATTATTACTATCACTTGTGAGTAATGTTGTTGTTTCGCGTTCTGTATTATCTTGGGTTGAGTCTTTAGGAAACGTTTCAATAATTGTCATAACCTTAAATACGAAATATGAAAAATAAATGAATCATAGGTGATGATTCATTTTACCTCTGCTGTTGATGGTACGTCTACAGGTATCCCATCATCATTGATAGGAGCATTAGGCATTGTCAGGACGCCAGTTTTTGCCATTTTTTGAAAAAATGATTCAGTTGGTTTACGTCGTTGTGTAAAAGTTTGTTTAAGGTCATCTTCTATTATCGATAATTTTATATCATTTGATGATATAGATAATGATTCATTATTTGTTGATGTCGTGATTACAGATGATGCGTTAGAACTTAAATTATTATTATTATTATTATCCTCATTGTGTACTTCAACTGTTTCATTTGCATGTGAAATTTTATACATAAACGGATTTAAACGATTATTCGATGTTATTAAAGATGGTGTATTTAATATACTTGAGGGAAATTCTAAATCCATACTGTGAATTTGTATTAATAATAAGTATTACACTAGAGAAAACATAATTGTTTCGCAATTTTATTAATATGATAAATACGAACTAAAAAGAGTCAAAATATCCCAAGAAAAAATGCATACGTGTAAATATGCAAAAAAAACATTTTTTTAAAGCATAAAAAGACTTGTTAGTAGCTTGAGTTGGGTGTTTTTTTTATCTTTTGGTATCTTACAAATAAATAAACAAATAAACTTATGCATAGATGAAGAAAAAAACAACATACAGAAAGAATAAAAATAACCTAAGTATACAATTGGATATGATTCATGTTGTAAACTAGAGAAATTAATCTAAAATTTTATTAAAAAAAAATAATGAATATGATAAAGAATGTGAAACAATTAAAAAATTTATATCAAACAATAAATATATATCTTATCAACAGATGTCGTTCTAATTTTGTCAGCGTTTGATAGATAAGACGCACCCCTTTCAACGATCTATGAATCATAATGACTTCATTCTTGACACGTCTGATTCTTATCTTTGTTCTGAGCTAAATACGTGACGTTATATAACGAAGTCATTTGGTAATAATCGTGACAAAAATTATAAATATTTTCGTAAAGAAAATGTTTATCAAGTAGTAGTTATAAATATCTAAAATAGATTGAATAAGCATAACAACATTGCATCTTTATGAAATATCAATCAGTTCGAATTGATTGATATTGAATCTATAGCTGATAAAATAAAATAAAAACCATCGCTTGGCACTTTATCAAATAATTAATCATTGATCATATTTTCAAATTGATGATCAATTCATATTTCTCATGAATAATTTTGGTATAGGATATTTTCTGTCGGATATTATCTATCTATGCTTTATCTAATATAGAGTTATTTTAATTAATATGTATGATTAATATGAAATTCAATTACACATTTCAATATTTTCATTTTAGTAAATTATTCTTTATCCTGCATGTTTATTTTCAAATGTTAGATCAACATTAGATCATAATTTTCTCTTTGTATTGGTCGTTGAGATATAATCAGAGAAATATTAAATAAAGTTCAAAAAGAATCTTGAAAGTTTTTTTCTTCGTGCTTCAAAAACACTATATGAATGTAATCTATTAATTTTATTATCTTTCAAAAGATATGAATTATTTAATAGACAATATTATCAAATCCAACATGGTAGCCAAATATAGGTACATTAATCTATTTCTCAGCAAATAAATCAAAGCATGAAAAATTTTGTCAAATTAAATATCCTCGTGTTGTGCTGAATCATTTAGTTAACCGCATTTTTCTTTTTTGTCTTTCTAGTTTAATTTGTTTTATATGCTGGTTAGAACCTTTTTAAAATTGTTTAGGATCATAATATCGTTATAATTTATTAAGAAAAGTTTGAAATCATATGGAAAATATTTTATTGTTTAAAATAATAACTCATTTCGTAGCGAAAATTGCTAAAAAAAAGCAAGATTTTATTGGGTATTATTTAACAATGCAAAGTATCTAAAACAAACTTTATTTAAGTTCAACGACAACCAAAATTTTAATCTGAATAATTTTAATGGTTTGGATTGCTTTCGAATTATTAAATGTAAATTTTCGTGTTATGAATGATACTTTTTTAAAATGTTTTTTTTTTTCTTTTGTAATAAAGAAATATGATACTAGTTTAACATTTAACAATCTTTTCTTACAAGATCTATTCCAATCAAGATCATATATTTTACTTCAGTAGAGTATTAAATTTCAAGCGATTTCTTTCGTCTATAACTTCAGGTTTAGCTGAGTTGTTTTCGATCAATTTAATTGACTTCATAAAAGATAGGTACATCAAGTAAGTATAAAGAGTTTCTTTTTCTACTAATAGTAAGCAACGATCATTCGGACATGTTTATAGTTTCTTTTTTGTTTTAAATCAAATAAAATGAAATAATAATGCATTCTAACAACTTTATGCTTATATATTTCGAGAGATATGTTGTAATGTTTGTTAATTAATGTAATAAATATTTAAACAAAAAGAATCTTAAAATTAAGCATCAATTGAGAATGTAAGCAAGCAAAAATTATTAGGCCTACTGGTTAATGAAACTCTTATATTTAATACGAATTATTTATAAAAGAAAACAAGCAGAAATCATAAACAAAATCACATAGTCATAGGACCAAGTGCTGAAATCAACCTTGATATCAAAATTCAATCGAAAGGAATCAAGTTGTTTTTTATCTTTTCTTTGCAATTCAAATAATGGTACTGAAATTTGATCACAATCATAGAAATCAAACTGAATAACTACTTGATGCAGTTGTTTACATCGTTGAAAACACATCGTAGTTACTTTATTTTTTACTAATTGTTTGATGAATTTAAAAGATTTCTTTGGATTAAACAAGAAGAGAGAGAGAGAGGATAAGAATAAGTGATTGACAGAAGGTAGCAATAAAAAAAGAGGTTTAATAGTGAAGTAAAGACGCGCACGATGGAGAAAGAGTTAATTAAAAGAGTATGAGTGGCAAAGCTGAGATGTGTAAGGAGAAATGAATTATAACGATGAATAAAGAATTGAAGCTAATGAAAAAACGATTAGTAACGATCAAAATAAAAAAAAACACGAGAAAAAGTATAGAAACTATACATGAGTAAATGCACATATAAGTGCCGGCAACTTATTCACAAGACTGTAATAGAAAGCCTTGGGTTTTTCAAAATCTTTTTTCGAGATTTCAGCAAATTTTCGGGAAGGTGTAGCATTTTAAAATCTGGTTTTCTAGAACTTAGTTAGTAATAATGTCTATTTGCATAGCAAAAATCTAGCCCATAATAGAAGGTTATCTTTGAACGAGTGATGTAAGTTTCCATAATAGAAGACCATAACTTGTTATTTGGCGAAGAGAGTAAGGGTATATACTTTCAGCGACTCTATCATACTTCACTTATGCATTTTGTAGGAATCGTTTTAAAAATTATATTTCATTTTTTATAAACAAATTTGAAATCTATTGTAACGACTAGAGTATTCTGCAAAGTTCTAATAATTATCATCATCAAATGTTCATATTTTATTGAATTCATATCAATGAATTGCAAATGTACGAAACCTTAACAATGTCCAAGAAATGAGATATACGAATTCTATAATTGTGGATGAACTCTGAACGAAGTTGTGATAATTTCTGGGAAAAACGAGAATCGGATAAAGGAAAGAACAATACTTCTGTCTTTTGGCTAGCTTTCGGCAAATTCAATAATCCGATATCCTCTCTATAACTATAACTAGCTGTAGCTCTGAACAGAGAACCATCGTGACCCAGAGTTCTTAAGCTCTCCATGCACATTAACTAAGCACAAGAGCAGATGTATGCCACAATATAATCAGCATGCTAGCGGATGGATTATCCGAAACAAACAACCATTAATGACTTGTCCAGAGTCAGTCCATGGGAAATGGATACCGACTTTTGAGTGCAGCATCTTATGGATACGTATCGAACAACGTAGTCACTCAGTCATGACGGCTTTGAAATGAGAATTGATCATTATTTCTCACATAGTTTCACCATTCATAAAAGCCAAATTGACGGCTTTTTCTTTGCAGTAGTTTTTATATCCATGCATTCATATTGGTCAATTCCTTGATTTACTTTTTTTTTAATTTCAGTAATCATGGAATTTCTCAGCCCTTGGACATCTCGTACGAAACTCAGTATTTATTAGTTTTTATAAGAATACAATATAAATTGTTAAATGTTTTCGCACAAATGTTTGTTTCGAATAACAATTATTGGAAGTTTTCGGTAGGTTTTAAGCACTATCATTTGAAACTATCTTTTTTTACATGTCTGACTAGATGAATAGTAGATTCGTTTAGAATATCATTGTCATCGAATATTATTGCTTATCTGAAGTATTATCCTTCAGAAATAAATCGCTGATAATTAGAGATCTATGTCGAAGTCATTTTTAGAAGCGGTCGAAGCTTCCTAAATTGCCTAACAGTAAATTAACTTGAACACTACAGGTTTTTTTTTATTGAATGATGAGTTTTATCCTTTGATATACATTGTACAAACTGGTGTATTTTTTAGGACTCAATTCCCATCTGTACAAATGTGGAGAACACTTGTCTTATCATGCAAACATTTTTTTGTCTCAAATTTTGAGAAAGTTTAATTCACTCCAAAAAATTAGAATAACTTGAAGTATCAATTCTGCATGGATGTTTGAAATCAGTTACGTGTTGACAGTTCAACCGAAAGAACACTTGTTGGATCTTGTAAGACAAATAGCATCATTTTTGATACATTACTCAAATAGTAGATTTTCCATATAAGACTAAAGGTTTTAGTTTGTTATCAATTGCATCAAATAAGAAAAACAACATTAAAATCTTCATATGTTTTAAAATTCAATCAAAAGAAAATTGTACCTTGAATATAAATTATCTTTTCATACATATACTTGTAGTTAATGGCTTGTAATAGATAAATTATAATGAATAGTTGCGCTTTACATTTGAGTTTTTCATTGTCAAATACTTTTTATTACAAAATAAAATATACTAAATAGACAACATTTTTTAATTTTCGATGCTGCAAACAAGATCGGTTTTCTTTTTGATACATGATAAATAATTTTTTCTTATTTGATCAACTCAGAGTTCTTAAATTCATTTCATGGCATATTATTAATGATAGCGTCTCACAAAATTTCGTTTATTTTTGAAAATTGAAGATGTATATATAAACTATTAGAGATTGTAGAGCTTTTCATACTGTATCTTGCAGTATATTTTATGTTTTTGATAAAATGGATTTGATGATGTCAAAATAAAATCGAAACCACAACTATTCATGATGGTTCAAGTTCGAACTCGTTCAATAGGATATGAAACAAAAAATTGATTTTTATAGAATAAGGGTAAAGAGTCAACAACATTCTATTTTAAAAGTAATTTATTTATTAGCGAATGAAGTTGTTTGCCATACAATGATTCGTCATCAATTGTTCTACGTATAAAGTTATAAAAAAAAAAGACACAACATCCATATATTGTAATTGATATTCGAATGATCCATAACATTTACAAGGTTTATTATCGAATGATTGCCATTCGAAATCATTGTAAAAAAGAAATGTAGAATCTATTTACTATAAAACATAAATTAAAGGTGTTTTTGTTGATAGACAAAAAAAGAAAAAGAAACGAACCTATGGCTAAAACAAAAAACGATCATGATCATGATCGTGCTCGTTCACTTGTTGAACTGCTTCAACGAACACAATCACAAGAACAATTTGATATACCATCAACAACATCAACAACAAGTACAATCGATCAATTATTAAATGATGCTGGTTCATTTGGTTTATATCAGAAAATTCAATTTTTTCTTGTTGGTCTTCTTGCTGTATTACCAGCTATGACAGCATTTAATTATGTATTTATAGCTGCAACACCTGATCATCGTTGTCAATTACCATTAACAAATTTTACAGATACATTTCAAATACAATCAAATGAACATGAAAATTATATTAATCAATATATACCATTATCAACAAAAGATCGAAAATGTTATTTATATGATAGAAATTCAAAAAATGAAAATTTAATATCATGTTCAAAATGGGTATTTGATAATACATTTTATAATACAACAATATCTACAGAATGGAATCTTGTTTGTGATCGTCTTCATTTAAAAGGTATAACACAAAATGCATATATTATTGGCACAAGTGGATCATTTTTAACTGGTATTATGTCGGATAAATTGGGACGACGAACAACAATGTATTTACTTATATTAATTTTAGTTATTGTACTTAATGCAACACAAATGATGATGCATTCTAAACTTTCTAATGATAAAAAATTAATTATTTTTACCATAAGTCGATTTTTAACTGGTATTGCACAAACAACTTATTCGATAACATTAGTTTTACTTTTAGAAATGACATCAGCTACAAAACGAGTATTAGCTAGTAATATTCTTTCCTATTTCTACACATTAGGTATGATAAAATTTTTTGAAAAAAAAAAAAAAACAACAAATCTTCTATGAAATTTTATATTCATATCAGGTGAATTGTTTATAATGGTTATCTATTATTTTACACGTGATTGGTCCTTAACAATGTGGATATTAACTATATATGTAATGCCATTCTTATGTTATTATTGGTGTATACCAGAATCAGCTCGTTGGCTTGTATCAACAGGACATTTATTACAAGCTCGAAAAGTTCTTCATCGTATTGCATATGTAAATCGTCGTACATTAGCTAATTCGGAAAAAAAACTTTATGATGATTTACAACGTGATGCTCGTAAACGTCCAAAACGTTATTCATATATACATGTTTTAATTAGTTTAATAAAATCTCCTGTTATGCGTCAACGTTGTTTAATTGTATTTTATATAATGATGACAAATTTAATGGTTTATCTTGGTATTGGTATGGGTATAACAACATTAACAAATGATCGTCCATATGAAATATTTCTTTTTTCAATATTTGCTGAATTATTTGGTCTTTGTTTATGTCATTTTTGTGCAACAAAATTTGATAGAAAAATTCCATTAATAATTTTTTTTACTTTATGTTCTCTATCAATATTAACAATACCAATAACACATAAAAATTATCCATTAATTAGTTTATCATCAGCATTATGTGCAAAATTATTTATATCAGCATCACAAGCATTATCATGGATATATACATCAGAAACATATCCAACTGTTATACGTTCAACTGGTGTTGGTCTTACAGTTAGTATTGCAAGACTTGGTGGTGTATGGGCACCACAAATATCTTTATTATCACAATCTGTTTGGTTTCCATTACCATATATTATATTTAGTATATGTTCATTTATTGCAGCATTTTTTGCAATATTTTTACCTGAAACACGAACAAAATTAGCTTTACCAGAAACAATAAAACAAGCAGAAAAAGCTGATGATGATATTACAATACATCGAGAAACATTAAGTGAAATACAACCAGAAATAATAATAACTCATAGTGAAAGATTATCTACATGTTATGAAGAAGAAGATAATGATACACATGGAGAAGATGCATCATCTTCAGAACATATGAAATCAGAAGAAGAACTAACATTAACGAATATTAAACAAAAAGATAATATTGAAAGTGAAGAAAACAAAAAATAAAAAATAAATAAATTTTCTTACATTTAATAAAAATTTTTATATGATTGATTAATTCAAATGAGAATGGGTATCGATAAAATATACTATGAGCATTGTTTTACTAGGGATATATACTAGTAAATAGAAAGATTGAAATTCTGAATCTAGTCTACCCGATTCTGACGAGGGAATTACTCCAACTGATACCTATCGTTTGAATTCACATTGGGTTCACAAGGTGATCGCGATAAGATTAAAAGAGTTCCTTTTCATGGATCTTTGGCCTCAAATTATGACGGTTTTACTTACTCTTCGATGTAACTTCAGGTATTTACCGAAAAATCAAATAACAAAATTTCGATCTAAAATTTTGTTCGTAGATAGGCCTGATGACTCCGGGAATAATGAGAAAGTTTCAGTCGGAAAAAATATTTCTGTGTTGAGATATTGAATTTTTAAGTAAACTTGATTTTTGTGGCAAACAACCATCTTTTGAAAAATGCCATATCTTGACAAAGGAACATTCTTTCCTGTTGAGACTTTCACGATAAATATCTAGAGTCGTCAGATCTGTCTATGGACAAAATTTCAAGTTGCAATTTCATTATTTGATTTTTTCGGTAAATACCTAAAGTTGGATCGAATATTAAGTAAAATGACCATAACTCAGCTGCAAAGGCCCATCTAGAGTTTTTCTAAGCTTACCGATGTATCTTTGTGAACTCAACATAAGCTCAAGAAGAGAGTATCAGTTCGTGTAGTGCTCTCATGAGCCAATATGAAATTTAGCTCTGCTACATATTTTCAATTGATTAAAGCCATTAAGTATTTACTGCAACTTCATTTAGCGTAATTTTCTCCGAACATTGATTTGTTTTGAGCTTTTTTGCAAAGAACGAGGTCCAGTAGACTGAGAATATCAAGCTCTATCAACTATTTTAAGTCTCAAAATGATCTTTTAACTGCATTTTCGCCCTCTAGGAAGTTTTACACGAAAAAAAAATCAAATTAAGGAATTTTAAACTGGATTTTAATTCATAGATAAGTGTCAAGACCATTAGAAACACCTGAAAATTTTCGTTCAAAAGACTATTTTCTGACTTCTTGTGATATATAATCGTTTTTTTTTGGTTTCTAATATTTTAAGAAGAAAATATTCTTTCAAGCTGGATTTTCTAGAGCATTCTAATGGTCATGCCCTGAATAAGTCACTAACGACTGTTTATCTCGAATCACCTGTCCGATGGCACGCTGACTCCGTTGTGACAAACGTCTGCTCTCTCGTAGTTTGTTAGAGTGTATGGGAAGCGCAGGAACTCTACGTATGGTCGGTCTTCTGAGCTACAGTTAATCATAGTTTTAGAGATAATAGCAAGCTATTGCGTCTGTCACTAGGCAACATTCCATGATGCAGGGTAACCAAAATACAGGACATTCTTCTTTCCTAACGGTTATAAGACTTATCTATAGACAAAATTTGAAGTTAAAATTCCTTAATCTGATCTTTCCCGTGTAAACCTTGCCAGAAATCGATAACATGCAGTAAAATAATCATTCTATCACACAAACTAGCCATCAACAACTCATATGTTAAACTCATTTGATATAGCACTAAAGCTGATAGTTCGACGTGAATATGATTAGGTTTGTTAATTAGAAATACAAAACATTGTATTGTGTGAGTAAGGCATTTTCGAAAAACACAAATCCAAGAGTTTTGCTCTAACATTTGAATTATAGACAGACTTGATAGTTCTGAAAGTTTTAACGGAAATGAACATATCATTCTCATATTATGTCTTCCTATGGTAAACCACTACTCCTTTTTAAAAATTGACTATCTTGAGAAAGATAGATTCGTTTTCATTAAAACTTTCAAGATTATTACACCTGTCTATAGAAAAACTTTACAGATCAAAAATCGTTGTTTAAACTTGTTCGAAATTGTCTTGTTCTTTATAAAAAGAAATTCATCATAACAACTATAATTCTTCATCAGTACACCATGAATCTGCATTTCTTTCAGGATTTCTGAATTTCACCAACACCTACTCTTAGCTATGCTATGATAACGAACAATATTCGACACATGAATATATATTTTCTCATGAAAAAGGTTCAATCAATAAATGAATTATAAGTTTGTTTGTTTTTTTTATCATGGCCAATATCTAGTTGTTTATTACTGATGTTTTCATTCAACAAAACCACAGCATCAAGTAAACTCGGTAATCCGAGATTATATGAAATATAAACAATAGATCATAATTCAAAGACAAAAATTGTCTTGTCTTACAGATAGATAAATGAAATGACGAAAAACAAAAACAAGAAATAAACAACAAATAAACTTTGATATATGTGCGTTGTTAAATTTATAGTTTTATATTTCATATTAGTAGAACAGAACAGAAAGAAAAAAGAAAAAGAGAGAGAAAGAAAGAAAACAAGCGCACATATATATATATATAGAAAAAACGAACAACAAATTTTTTTTTATATGACTATATGCATATGGGAGACAACACCAAGAAAGAAAAACAAGCATACACTGTTGAATTATCGCCTGCGATAATGAAATAAAGTTGATAAATAATATTAGTTTTTTTTCTCTTTCTTATTTATGTTGTCTTTTTAGTTGATTGAAATATGCGACCATTTTGTATTTGATAAATAACATTTTGTTGTTGTTGTTGTTGTTGTTGTTGCTGTTGTTGTGGTTGTTGTAATGGCGTTTGCTGTTGTTGTTGTTGTTGTGATGATGAACGAATTTGATAAACAGTACCAGCTGTTGATGATGAACGAGGTTGTTGTGTGAGAAGATTTGTTACTGGTGATGTGTTTATATTTGATTTATTACTTAAAAGTATTGGTCCTGTTGAACGAGAATTATTTGTTGTATTTGGATTAATATAATTAATTAATGATAGAACTGATTGTTGATCTAATGAATTAACAATCCATATTTGTTGTTGTCCATTTGCATTAGTAGTTGATGTTGATGTTGATAATGATGATGATGATGATGAATTTTGTGTTAAACATGATAAATTTGAAATAGGTTTTCTTGTTATTGTTGATAATGTTGTTTTAGATTTTGATGAATATATACGATTATTATTATCAAAATCATCATCATCAAAATCATCAGCAACAAGAAGTGTTGTTGAATCACCACAGTCATCATTACTATTATGTCGACTATTAGTTATATGAGATGTTGTTTGTGGTTTTATAATTCGAGATGGTTTTTGAATTAATGCTGGTGGAGGTGTAGATGTTAGTACTGTTGGTAGAGGAGATGGAAGAGGAGGAGTAGGAGGAAGAGGAAGAGAAAGAGAAGGAGATGGAAGTTGAATACGACGTCGTCGAAGATTTTCAGTTGGAATTTGAGTTGAACGTTTGATGAGAATAGGACGAGGAGGAGGTGGCAGAGGTGAAGGTGGTGGAGGTGTAGGCGGAAGAATAACTGTTGGTGGTGGTGGTGCTGATTGTTGAATAGCAGCAATAGCAGCTGAACTTTTTTCATGACGTGCTAATTCATTTGCTATTAAACTATTTTGTGCAGCTGAATATGTATAACTATATTTAGTTTGTCGTTCTTTATCTAAAGCATATGTATACATCATTTCATCATCTTCTTGTTCTAATTGTCGTTCTTCTTCTTCTTTTAAAGATTTTAAACGTGATAATTGCCAATCTTTTCGAATTTGTTCAGCATCAAGATAAGTATTTGGTGCAACTTGAGCTAATTGATGTTCGTGACGATACGCTTCAACACAACGTAATGCATAACGTTCAATAGGTCGAAGCTTAAAAAAAGAAACGATATTAGTACAATACCTGTTAGATTAACATATGAAACATGACGTTGTAGTTGTTACTAGTCATAGAGAGATTATTTTATCCATTCTCTATTTTATGATACATTTCTTCAACAATATCGGTCATAGTCGAAGGGAGAAAAAGGAGTCGAAATATTTACCCATTTACTTAAACACTCCTTTTAGATCATGTTTCATAAAAAGAAGCTAAAAGATGAATATACAAAATGATCCATAAATAATTAACTGACAATATTTCCAGTCGGCTTCAATCAGTTGGATTCATTTTTTTCTTGATAATAGAGGAATTATTATTCATTACGAATTCGTCAATAGATAGTGTTTTGAACTATCGCAGTATTCATTTCAATAAATAAATGTACTATTGGCTGATAGTATTTCTCTGTAATCTCAGTCGTTCTTGCCTAGGGCAAAGATTTCAATCGTCGAAAATGGCGTATTATTTCATTAGTTTTTATCATATTCCGTGTTAAGCCTTCAGTTTGTTTTTCCGTAGCAAACGGTCATCGATTCTCCTACTATTTCCGTCATATTGTCTTTTTACGACTGTTGGCAATGCTGTTTTCTTCGACCTGGATAAAGCTATTACTTGAAATTTTTATCAGACTGATAGCTCTTTCATTGTGAGTTCTATAACTCAACAAGGACTTTTGAAATCGGTCACATTCAGTCGAGTGATAATGTTTGTTTTCAGCTTCGAAACTGCTATGTCAGCATACTCGACATCACCATACAAGAGTCATAACGAGAAAATCGTAGAATTTCTGAAATACTGGCATAGCAGCTTCAAAACTGAAAATAAACGTTACTATTCGACTCAGCCTGGCTGATTACGCTTGTCCTGTTCCATGCTAATTCGGTTAGAGATTATGTAGCCGATTTCTGAGGTCATAGAAAAACCTCAATAACTTATGAAGAGAACAAGCTATAGAGCTCAGTCGCAAGTAGATCGAAAGCGAACCATTTTTTTAACGAACGACTATATTACAAGCCAAAAAAGAATTTTATTCTATTTTTATAAAAAAAAATGGTCACTCGTCTTATATTTTAGCGTCAACAGTTGTTCTAGATAATACCTATTTCGAAGCTTTTTCTGAATATAAACTTTGACAAAGTTCTCTCTGTCATCGAACAAAAAAAAATCAACTCAATCGATTAAAGCAGACGGCACGTATT